ATTTATTGACGAAATACTATTAATTACTTTAAAAATATGTAATAATCTAAATTTTATTAATTATCTTAAATATATTTAGTGAAGGATGAAGAGCGAATTTTTTTCACCACATCGTTTTATCAATTATTAGTTAAAAAATTGGGTTTTGTGTCAGGAAGTTGAATGCACAGGTGTGGAGTTCTCTATTTGATTTCAGTGTATACATAAACTGAAAATTTGAGAGCTGAAATATAGTTATGGAAATAAAAGCAAAAAAGTCAAAAATAAATGTCGAAAATGGTAATTAGAGAAACAAGTTTCTTCCTTGATCATAGCTGGTTAAGAAAAGTTCTAACTATTGGAATCCTTAAAATGCTGCTGAACTCAAAGGGACCATTTGGGAAACCTCTGTTCCAAAACAAACTTACTCGTAATTCGTAATACAATAGCTATACTACAATTCACTATATTGTATTAAAAAACATAGCTTTGAATTTCCTTTCCTTAGAAGCATTTTTATTAATTTAATATAAATAAAGAAATTATAAAATAAATAATGGATAACTAATTGAATGTAAATTTAATTACTGGTTTCGAAAATCATAACTGGTTAAAAAAGTTCTAAGTACTGGAATCCTAGTGATGCTTCCGCTGAACTCAAAGTGACTATTTGGGGAACCACTATTATAAGGTGTACCCTTAGACTCGAAAGCAAACTAACTCATAATACAATAGCTATAATACAATTCCCTTTATCGTATTAAAAAAAACATTGTTTTGAATTTCCGAGCACTTTAATCAATTTCATAAAACTAACGGAATTATTAAATAAATAATGGATAATTAATTGAATATAAATTTAATTACTGCATTCGAAAATCATAACTGGTTGAAGAAGTTCTAATTACCGGAATGTCTGTGATGCTTTCACTGAATTCAAAGGAACCATTTGGGAAACTACTGTTCTTAAGTAGTGTACCATAGACCCTAAAGCAAATTTACTCATAATACTATAGCTATAATACAATTCACTATATTGTATTAAATAATCATTTTTTTGAATTTCCATTCTTTACGAGCATTTTTATTAATTTCATAAAAATAATGGAAATTATGAATAATTATTAAATAAATTATTATTATATAAATTACTAATAATTATTATATAAATAATAGATAATAAGTTGAATAGAAATGTAATTATTGGTTTTTAAAATCATTACTGGTTAAAAAACAAGCTCTAACTACTGGAATTCGCTGAACTCAAAGGGTACCATTTGGGAAACCTGTTCTAAGGTGTACTGTAGAACTTAAAACAAACTTACTCGTAATATAAAAGCGTAATAAATCATAATTATTGCTGCAATAAAAATCAGTTGTACTATTTATAAACTAAATATCTCTTTCTATTGCGTGGTAAAGTGTGCGTAAAATGCTATAAAACATATTTTTATTTGTCAAATAATAATAACTCATAAGTTATACACTTTTGTTAATTGCATTTTGCGATCTGTTTATTTGTCGAAAAAAGCAAATGTTTATTGAATTTGATTTTAAAGATAATTAAATAAGATTAAGTTAAGTTTCAAGTGTTTTTCATTGCCTATAATGCTTTTTTTCCTTCATAACTTAAAAAAATAGGCTTTTCACGTAAAACAGTTATCTGCAAAATTTAATTTTAGTATGGAGAAAATTAAGTTTTATTAAAGTTTTGTTAATGTTAAAAAGAGGAATTGCTACAAACACATTTGCTTCAAAAATCTTCAATGTATATTAGTTACTTTTCTGTTTTAATATCAAAACAGCTAATGGACGTGTATTGTTTAAGTGAAAAATTTATTCATATTTCCAATAAAAGAAACTGTTTTTAATATTCAATAATATGGCATTTTACGTAAAAATTATAGTTGCTACATGAATATTTATTGTTAATATGTCATGTTTTGTATTTTTCATTAATTAAACGAGCAAAAAAAGCTTATATTTTAAAAATATATGTACTTCATAACATGTTAGATTTGAATTGATTCTACATTTTAAATTTTTTATCTAATTATCTTTAACTACACTCCTCAAAAGTGAAATTGCAACACCAAGAAATAATGCAATGATTAGAGGAATCTAGATCCTAAGACACAAACCGCTGGCACAGTTTATTTATCTTTACTTTCACTTCGAATTGGTCAAAGTAAACGCGGAGATTTTTCCAACCAGGAACCTATTGACCGACATGATGTTATAGTTAAAGTTTTTAAACTAAAACAGACGACGTTAGTTAACATTTTCACAAAAGTCATGTATATGTTAAAATAANGGGAAGGATGTCAAATCCAGTCAGGCTGTTAAGAGTTCGCCGTGCGACATGCGGCCTGGCATTGTCTTGCTGGAATACCGTGTTGGGTGCGCCCTGCAACAAGGGCAGAACAACGGGATACACAACTTGTGTGACGTAGCGGTCCGCTGTCAAACTGCCGTGAATGTGTACCAGGGGCGTTCTGCGATCAAACATTATGCCACCCCAAACCATGATGCCCGGTGTAGGACCGTTGTGACGCTCGGCGTAATGGGCTGGTTCGTAGCGTTCTCCGGGTCGCCGCCATACCCGTCGACGGCCGTCATTTCTCCACAGACAGAAACGAGATTCATCCGTGAACAATACCCGATGCCATTGGATGGTCCAGGTACGATGACGATGACACCACGCCAGGCGTCTAGCCCTGTGTAAAGCGGTCAACGGTACCCCTGTTGCTGGTACCCGTGCACGTAACTGTACTTCATGCAATCTGTTGCGTATGGTTTGGGTGGACACAGATCCACCTGCTCCTGAAGGCAACCGGCTTCGGATGGCACGTGCCGTGGAGAAAGGGTCTCGAATAGTCAACTGGCGAATACGCCGGTCTGTGCGCTCTGACGTGCACCTGTGCGCACCACTTCCTCTTCGGCGTGCATGTAGACTTTCCTGAATCCATCGTGTGACACAGCGTTGGATGGTACTCACGTTGTGCCCAACACGAGTTGCTATTGCCGCGCAGCGACAAACCAAATTCATGGAGTTCGATAATACGGTCACGTTCCCCGGTCGTTAACTGATGGTATTGAGTTCGCCGACGTCTCAGAGGCATTTTCTACGCTTTTTCGAAAGTCGCAAATGCCACGCAAAACCTCAGATGCCGTTTATGAGAAGGGAAAGTTGCTGGCCTTTATAGCTCGAATATGCGCACGACGTGATCAGATGCGTGCGCAAATTTAATCATTTGCATATCCATCTCACTACTATCGCTCCTGAAATTTGCATGACGCTACGTGCATTATTTCTTGGTGTTGCAATTTCACTTTTGAGGAGTGTATTTGAAAAAAGCAAACACATATATATTAATAGGTTTTCATGTTTAATCATTGAATAATTTTGTAATAGAATTGGATAAAATATTTAATTGTTTAAAATATTGCTTTCTAAAATTTGCAAAAAGTAAGTTGTTTTTGTTTATAACTTGTTGATACGTTCGATATGAAAATTTGAATAATTTACATATAAAGTTATGAAAAACAACTGAAATCAGAATCACACACTTAGATACTAATGGGAAAAAAATCCCCCCCCAAATAACGTAAAAAGTTGGCTGCTCTGTATGAAGTTCTGAAAAGCCACTTTATGTTTAAGCATAATGTTTAGAAGATTTATGTTTAAACATATAATCCTGTGGCACACAAGTGAAATAAAATACAAGAGAAGTCCATGATTATAGTTTTAAGACATTTGAAGATTATTATTGTCTTTTTAATTTTATGGAATTCAAATTGTTTGCCTATTTACTTATTTTAGAACTGGGATTTATATGACTGGAATTCATATAACTCAAAACTACAAAATTTGAATTTAATGTGTGTCATTTATATAATCTGATGATATTTTTTGTTTTGTGCATGGAACTTAATTTCTTTTTTTGCTCTAATGCGAAAATGTTTTTCGTAAACATTGTTGAATCTTCAAAAACTTATTTCCTCAAATTCGAATCTAAATTTCCCAAATTCTGAAAGTTTAAAGTAATTATGAATCTGTAATAAATTATCAAAGCGAAATGGCTAAATTTTACATAAAAAATTTGTCCACAATACAGTACCAAGGATGCCAATTGCTCTTGATTAGACAAAATATTTTAAATAACGGTGGAAAACTACAAACTAAAATTTGCAGGTTTCTGGTTAATTTTGACAATTTTTAAAAAGATTTAAAGCGTCTTACCTGTAAAAAGTGGCCTTTGAATTTATAGTGTCCAGTAAAAGCCCTCTAAATCGATTTTATTAAATCTAGATTCGTACATTAAAAGATTGTCACTCGAAAATAGTTATCCTCTTTCTGAAGCAAGTTGGCATCTACAATATTCTTGTTATAAATTTTAGATTTAAGTGGTTTAACATCGACATTGCTTTTTTTTAACTGTAAAGTCAACTCAGTAATAGGGCATTAGTAAGGAATGTGTGTTCTCTAATTATGTACATTTTAAGATCATTTGATTAGATTTATTATCGTGTTGACAATCTTTTATGAATAAAATTGCCCACAAAATTTTAAAAAATCGTTCTCCCTTACTAATATTTTGAACCATCTGTGGAATTGTTTAAAATAGTTTTTACAGATTGTGAAAGTTTTTATACGTTCTTTAATGTCTTTTTATGCTCGCGGTCTTTAAGAAGGTCCACCCCTCTCTTTGAAATTCTTAAATTTGATTTAAGTAAGGCAGTTCAGGTTAGAAATATTCATTTTAAATATGTCTATGTAGCATATAGTAACACATGGGGGTGTAACTAAAAATGCAGTATGCTGAAACGTTCCTTCACACTCTTAGCTAACCTTTTTAGGTTTGATTACGTCATGTATGCTACATATTAGCGTTGTGAAGTGTGTTTATTCATTACCGACAGAGACAGACAAGCAAAAATGGTTATAAATAATGATTGTTTCTTTAATGTTTATAAATAATATTATCGAGAAATTACTCAAACAAATATATTTTTTTCAGCTACACCGATGCCAAACCAAGTAATTCATTGTCTAACGCTATCAATCTATCATTCCCGATTCTAACATGTGGTCAACAACAAAAGACGAAGAACTAAAATATGTTAATAAATCCTCAGAGCTAGGATCACTAAGCAGCTCAGAACCAGAAGAATCAGTTGAAGTGAGTGACGTCATCGGTGGTTATGGACCTTGGCAAAGAGATATTTTTGTACTTCTGTTTTTAGCATCTATACCTTCAGCATGGCACAATCTGCAAATGACTTTTATGGCTCCGTCTGGAGTGGACTACTGGTGTGCAAAACCCAACGATGTAAATATAAGTTTGGATTTGTGGCTTAATCGGACAGCGGTGCCTTCAAATCTGGATGTGGACAATAGGTGCTTCATAAAACCATATTGGCGACTGCAGGATAATGCCACCGTCCAAGAAAGTGATCTTGTCAGATGTACGAAGTGGCAATATGATTACAGCTTCTATCCATCTACTATTATAGATGAAGTAAATATTGAACATTTATTATTTTTAAATTTTTCCGTATTCTTATTTCTACCTAATACCTAATTATAATTTTAAAGCAGTATTAAATGTAATAATTCTACACTTATCTAAGGTTTTTGCTTTTTTCATGTAAACGTTAGCTCTATTACCCTGAAGACGCTTAGTAATCATTATTTTTTTTATCAGATGTAGCTTTTATTACCATATGACTGTATTGCATTAGTACATATTATCTATTGTTAGCTACATTTCTTGAATTTGGTGCAGCAGTCCGTTAATTGTCTATTGATTGATTAAACAGTACTTGGAGTTATAATTATTTTACGTGTTGTGCTATATTAATTTTTTTACAGTAAAGAAAAAGTTTCGATGTTTTTTTTTTTCGTTTCGTAAAAAAAGAAGTGGTCCTCCAAAATGTGAACCGTATGAGATTCATTGCATTTTGACATGTTAAATTATTATTAAAGCACTATGAACTATATAATGATTTGACATGTTGAAGTATGCATAACATATTTCCTAACATTTAAAAACCCAATTATCAACTTATTTAATCCTTTTTCAATAAATAAAAATCATTATAATATAATCGGTAATCTCTTAATACCACAACCTTGAATTGAGTTCAGAATGAAAATCTATTTTTAGAGATTCCTTTTACATCTGCCTAACACATTAACATAGAATTCGAATATTGTTGTGTGGTTGCTGATGTTTTGATTTCAATAAAATTTTCGATAATTTCTCACGCATTCTTTTCCGCCTACACATTTGTATGCGTGAGGCTAAGACAAAGAGCCTTCGCAATAAATTTAATCAATTAACAGCCAATGTATGGATTTCTTAACTTTCCTTGGCGACAACTATGTTCTTCATTGATTTTTATTTAGTTCAGTAAAAAGAAGTTTCGATGTTATTTTTTTTTTTGAAAAGAAAAGAAAAAACTGCCGAAATCTGAACCTATGAGATCCGTTGCATTTTGATTTGTTAATTTATTATTAAAACAATAATAGGGACGTAGTAGGGATGTCAACTACTACGCCTTTTGAAAAATACATTGACAATTTAAAACTAAAGCTTGCAAGAATATTTGGAAATCTTGTTAACATTTCATAAACATCTCTTAACGGGATCTAGAACCTCGTGGTTTTTATATAATCTTTCGAATTATTTACAAGGAGTTGTGGAAAAAATAACTCTAAATCCAGTTTATAAAATAACGAATAATACATTAAAGCATAAACTTAGCTACCATTTGAAGAAATTTTTCCCAAAAGCGTAGAAAGTTTGCAGGCTTGTAAATGTAATAATAACTCAAAATATTTTACTTCAAAAAATCTTTGAAAAAAAGGAGTTAAGTCTTAAATTTGCTACGATATAAGAGAAACTTTTTTTATGTTGCTTCCTTTTCTTGAAGAATGATTAATGATTTTTTTTAAAAAATGTTATCAACCTCAACTATATCTACTTTTTAAAAATATTTCAAAAGATTTAATTGAAAAATAACTGTAATCATAAATTATTAAAGTTATGTTAAACATGTGATTATTGTTATTTATTTTTTAAAAAGCTGCGTATAAATCGGCGAATTGCTGATCTGTTCCCATCGTAAATAGTGGAAAAAACTCATAACTAATTCAATTCTAATGACTTTTTTAATTAAATTAAAAAAAAGCCAATTCTTGAGCTGAAATAAATTTAAAGTAAAAAATGTTTTGAGATGGGTTTGAAACAAGAAACTTAATCTGTTGTCTGTAATCCTGATTTGTTTATAAACAGGAAAATTTTAAAATTTATTTTATTTTCAAATATCACCGGAATTTGAGTCAAAACTATACATCTACTTCTACGCAATTAAAATTCGACTTTACAAAATCAAAAACACTGAACGTTTACCTAACTAAGAGATTTGTAAAATCATATTTATTCCATTTTAATAATCTAAGTCAATTAAAATAAAACTTTGTACAAACAAAATCAGACAAAACAAACTAAACGTACTGAAACAAAACTCTATTGGTAAAGATTATCTTAAAAATGTTCGATGATTTGAATATTCAACTAATCCTTTTTAAAGTGCGCGGTTAGAACACTCACTAACAATTTCACCTGTTTTTAAATGTCATGGTAACTTATTTACCTCTTATAATTTGTGCTGCCCTCTGTTAACATCTTTAGAAAATTAAATAAAAAATAAGCACCTTTATTACATATTAAGACTATTAACTGGGATTATAAATATTTATAATATTTAAATTTAATTAAAGATTTATAATATGATCATTATTGGAAATAATGATCATATTATAAATCTTAAGGAATTAAATCCTTAAGATTTATAGAATTAATTAAGCGGGTCTTAAGGAATCTTAAGACCCGCTCAAGGAATTAAAAAAAAAAAATAAAAAATACAAAACTTGTACAGTTTGCTGCTTTCAGGTTAAAAAACAAAATGATTTCTTCTGATAAGATTTTAAAATTAGTTATGAAGTTCAGTTTTTTCATTTTGTATACACAACATTTCTATTTACTGATTTTCAAATTATATGCATATATAATGATTCCTTTTTTCTTTCTTTCAGTGGGATTTAGTATGTGAAAGAGAGTGGTTGATATCTTTTTCGAAGTCTATCTATAATGTCGGTTATCTCGTAGCTGTGTTAGTATTTGGACAAATTTCAGATAGGTCAGTTTCCTAGATTGTTTTGTTTATGATTTTTTATAGACTTTCTCTTTTCTTTAGTTAATTTCCGTGACTAATTTGTGATTAATTTAAATTTATGTGAATTATATTATCGTATAGATTTTTTATGATTTCAGTATAACACACTAATATTTTCAAAAATGTTAAACATATATAGCATATTAAGTAAATAATCCCAATAAACTGAAGCGGTAAGATATGACTTGATTGAAAAACTTCATCAGCTTCACAAATATTTAGATGAAAATAAAAGTCGATATGGTTCAAGCGCTCAAAAATAGGCACCCATTCTCAAGAAGTGCCAGGTCTGAATGAGAAGAAACAAAAGTTTTTTGAAATAAAAAACGTAAAATTACCAATGAAATTACGAATCAAAATTTAAAAAAACCCGCAATAACCGAGAGTTAGTGAAAGTAAAATAAAGATTAAAAACAGAACAAGGGGGAAAGATTAAAAACAGAACTGAATCAGGTTAAATCCATTTCCACACACTATGGAGATGCTGTGAGGTACTAATGTAGTTTAGAAGGAAATCAGCACTCATATGAATGAAACAAGATTCCAGAGCAAGCTGAACAAACGTGACTGAGTCGGAAATAATAATGTCATTGTCACTTTTATTTTTCATTTTTCGTGGGCTTATTTTCTTTGTCAAATCACTTTTGTTTCTTTTTTTTCTCATCTGGCAAGTCTTCAGAATGGGCGCCTATTTTTGAGCTCTTGAAACATGTCGACCTTTATTTTTAACTGCATATTTTTGAAGCAAATGTTTTTTTATTAAAGTAATATATAACATGTCTTGCATTTGATAAAAGCACAAATTGAAGGAAACGAATGACCGTAAATATTTTTCGTTTATTTAATCTTCAGATTTTAAGACATCTGGTTGTTGCCACTCTGTACCAATAAAAAGTCTTCTTAACATGTTCACAGTAGACCTATGTTTCTGCACTAGTAATAATGATTCATTTTATTCAGTTGAACTCATTATTGATTAAATAACGGCAAATCAAAAGTGATTATTAAAATATATAATAAGCATATTCATTCATAAAACAACTCCTTTTATTAAATACGATGAATGAAAATAGTCAATAATAGCAAAAAGTTACTTCTCCATTATACAAATCTTACTTTTTAAGTTGCTAATTGACATCGGTGTATTTTGTAATGCAATTACTTATAAAAGTCTAACAGAATTTTGCGAATTTGGCAAAATTTACTAGGGAATTTTAAGGGAAAAATAACAGTTATTTAATTTGTCTTATCTAACTTTCTCTCGATATTATTTCCATAAGAGAAAAAAATATAATTCTTCCCATTGGTTTATCCTGTATTGATTACGTCTATAAGTCATAAATCGAAAAGTAGTGGTGGCTTCTTAATTTACAATAAACGCGACCCTGCGATCTTTTCACCTTTTTTCCTATAAGAGAATTCTGTATTCCCCGTTATTGCGTGAATACAAAGGCATCATAACATAAGATCATGTTAAGTGAGGCCTAGCAAGTATTCAAAACTTATTTCCAATTCCTAAAATTACCCACAGTTCTTTTGTCTTCAGCGTTTGTCCCGGAACAGGTCAAGAATCAAAACATTGAAACATCAGTGTCCACAATGCGTATTTAGGCTTTTGTATATTTTGCGTAAATGGTAAGGTAGCACGACAAAAAATCTTGTTATGCCAGACATGACACAGATTGGCTAATTTTTTTCCACTCCAAAAGTAACCCACAGTTCTTTTGCGTTTAGATGTTGTGCTAAAAGGTCAAAAACTCAAACATGCTTATTTCTGCATTGTTATATTTTTCGTCAATGGTAAGATAACATCGAAAATTTTTGTAATATCAGGCATGGAGAAAATTGGATAGTTTTTTCTCACAGTTCTTTCTCACGCAGATGTTACGCTAAAAGATCAAAAACCCAAACATCGATGCCAACAACGCGTATTTCGGCTTTGGTATATTTTGCGTCAATGGTAAGGCAATACAGCAAAAGATTTACTTCTTAAGCAATGGTAATACACGACAAAGATCTGATATTTTTCCACTCGAAAAGTAATAGAAATTTTTAATGTGTTTAAATGTTAAGCTCAAAAGTACCGAAACATAGGTGTCCAAGAGCGTATTTGAACTTGGGTATAATACCTTTGCAACACAGTATTGCACAAATAATGTGGGATTCGAGTCTTAATGTGTGCATGAAATCAATTTAAGGAGCTTGAATGATTTTTTATAAATGCATCGCTATTAATTGTGATAATTGCTTGCTTATTTGTTTAAACCACTACTGTAGTTGTAATAAGAAATTTACTTCTATTTTATTTACCAAGAGAAATTCTCGACCAATTTCAAAAAGTGAGTTTCAACTTTGTTGCATAGACCTGTATTTCTTTCTCAGTGCGCTTTATTTATCATTTGTAATTCATTAGACAAGTGACGATTGCAGTAAAGAGCTTCCGCAGTTAGTTAGTGTATTTTTAAGCAAAAACGAAGTAAATGACATTACATTTCGATTACCTGCTTTTTCAAAGACTAAGCAGAAAAGGTAAATGCTTTTCCCCTAAAGAAAAATTTTCTCGCTTATGGTTCAGGTTAGTAGCTAAGGTTTTAAGCAGAAAATGTAAATGTTTTTCCGCTAAAGAAAAATTTTCTCGCTTATGGTTCAGGTTAGTAGCTAAGGTTTTAAGCAGAAAAGGTAAATGCTTTTCCCCTAAAGAAAAATTTTCTCGCTTATGGTTCAGGTTAGTAGCTTTGGTTTCATCTATTGAATTAAATTCATAATTTATATAAGTTAATCATTATATAAGTTCAAACATCACAATGAAAATTGTTTTATAGTGTAGGAAGACGACCAACGCTTCTTTTCTCGTATGTTCTTAACGTTGGGGCAGGTTTCCTCTCCGCTTTTGCACCATCTTTTGCTATGTTCGCTCTGCTCAGGTTCTTTACAGCTGTTGGTGGAGCTGGATTTTATACTGTTACATTCGTTATTTGTAAGTAATCAAGCTTCTGTTTATTTTAGTTTATCTTAAACACTCCAATTTTCTTAACTGAAGCCTTTATATTCAGTAATAACTATATTAACAGCTTCAACTTTCTAATTGATTTAAAATAGCCCTTTTGTATCATACTTACAAAAAACAGTCATTTTCATGCTTACAACATTCTTTATGCTTATTTTTTCACTTATATGCATATTTTTTCAGGGCAGAAAGAGTCTTTCAGAATATATTTTAACAAATAAAAATATTATTTTTCTATTTTTATTTAATTTATGTAGCTAAAATATACCTGAATGTCAATTCCTCATTTGTCACCATTGTTAAATTAAAATAAGAAATTATAACTTTTCAAAAAATAAGTGGTTACCTTACAAATATCTCTTTTTATTATTTCAGAACACTGAATTATTGAAATCAGCTAACCACTTTGAGTTCAACTGGAAGACTCTGTCTTTTGCTCACTAACCCTTAACGCTTAAAAATGTTGCCATGACAATGTTTTAAACTTTGTCCCTAGTATATTGCATCATTCGCAACAATGTATTAACCCTCCTAAATCTCCATAAAATGGAATATTTTAATAAAAACTTTAACCCTTGATTGCTAACTATTTTAAATTGAAGCGATCATTGGAGACTGTATACTTTATTATTTCACATATACTTTATTATTTCTACGACAAAACTAATACTTATTCGCGAAGTATTAGTTTTGTCGTAGGTATATTAGGACATTATCATGTAATTCACAATCCAGATACTGTTACTATTTCATCCACTCCTAAAATGATCGAAACAATTTCTATTTTCAATATTCACTAATGGCTGCGTTTGAAAATGACATAATTTGATTGTTATAATGTATGTAGGTATTTGCATTTTGATTGGAGGAAAAATTAAGAGGAATTTCATTTTTTCTCGTTGCTAAGCAACGAGTTATGAGATATATGTGAGTCTTGGACGTATGCGAGAGAAACTAATTTCGATCCTGTATTTGAGATAGACGAAAATTGCCAAAACCTTCGCCGAACTCGCATTTGCGTCCCTCTACATCGATGGCTTGCTCGGGACACACATGTATATCCATAAACCACACAGATGGTTTTGGCTAGAGACGCTTATATGCTCCCATAGCAGTCGAAGGGTTAATGATATAGTACCAATGGCAATACAGAACAGCATTGGAGTAAGCTTTCATCTTCATCTCATTGAATTTGCCTGTGAAATACACTTGAAAACATTAAATCAAGCCCTATTGTGCTTTACATATAGCATTCATGTTTTTTGTGTTTTTTTTTTTGAAAAAATACCTAGTAAAGCAAAATAAAGTTCTCGTAATTCCTAAAAAAGTGAATATTTTTACAAGCTCATAATCCCAATACTTAATATTTCCAAATAAATGTGTATCTAATTGCGAAATCGCGTGTATTTAGTTTAGTTTAAAAGTGAAAGGTAATAAAAAAAAAGTTTTTAGCTTATATATTATAAAACTGGCACTATATACTTTTTAAATTTTTTAGGGATCCTTCAAAATTATAATGCCTAGTAGGTGACGGCTACACTTTTTTGTAGCAATTTTATTGGCCAGTATTCTATATCCACAAGTAAATAAATCAAAACAGTTAACAACCCGCTTAGTTGAAGGCTCTAAATGACATTTTAATTAAATTTGCTGTAAAATTAACAACGTGAAATAAAGATAGAATAGCTTTTAATTTAGGCTCTTAAGCTTTTAAGAGGCGAAATTTATAAATCTTTAATACTCATTTAAACAGTTCGCTAAGTGTTCTAATTTTCTCTTAAAAAAATGACTAGTTGAAAGTTAGTTGTTAAATGCATTTGGAACATTACAATTCCTTCATCCACTACGATCTTTAAAATTTGAAGACTTGACAAGAATAAATTACTGTTAAGTAGTAAAAGTAGACTAAAATAAAATCTTTTCCCGAGAAATCTCATTTATTTTTAAATATGGAACCTTCTTCCACTATGTTCTTGAATTGTGCTTATCTAAATAATAAAAAAATACTCTATTTCAGTGATAGAAATGGTGAGCCCGGCTTATCGATCAATGGTTGGCGTAGCAATTAATTTCGGTTGGTGTTTAGCTTTCATAAGTCTACCTGGAGTAGCTTGGATCATAAGAGATTGGTTTTGGCTACAGTTGGCACTAACACTGCCAAAACTTCTGTTTATTTCCGTGTTTTGGTAATATTTATTATTTTATACTTTAATTACATTACATTTCATAAATATGGTAAATAGTTTTTAAACTCGCATAATACCGCTTATGTTAAAAAAACTTTTGTTTTGTTATATTCATATTATTTTTTTTTATAGTTAATAAATATCTGAAAACCGATCAAATACTGTTTAATAAAAACAACCATATTTGCTTGGTATAAAAATTTCAAAGAGGAAAGAGTATCCATCGAAGATGATCAGGGATCTGATAGATAATCTACTTCGATTAATGATCAACATAGGAATCAAGTCACAAAATTGATTTCTGTTATGATTTCTGTATGACAATAATAGACATCAATGAACAAATTCCGTACACAATTTTGTTCTTGTCAAACATTTTCAAAAGTTGTTTTCTAGCGTTTGTAGTTGTCCTAAGAACTTTGTATTTGCCCCAAAACAGTAAAGAGTGTTTTAAAACGATTTCGTTTTAGAACACATCATTATTAATGATTTAAATAGTTCCATCAACTAAATAGCGCTTGGAAAGTACGCAGAACAGAAAAGATCATATTAAAGTCGCTAATATAAATTTAAGTAATGTTGACTGTTACCTTTGATTTTATTTTATTTTATAACCGTTGTTGAACAGCCGACCCAATTTTGGGTTTACGACTACTAATGTTCCAACTCCGTAGCCTTGTAATTTTGAACCCAATTTCGAAGACAAGGGATCTCCAGGATCAAGTTTTGGGAAAAATTTTGCCTTCATGGAGGACTTTTTGATGGAAGATATCCGCATTTGTGTTACACGGTGAAGAAAACCTTGGAAACTTCCCATGGTTAGCCTGATAGCAAGGGAACTCTAACCAATGATCCGTCTTCCACTGAGGATATTTTACGTTAGCACTGTGGTCGTTGCAAGCCGGATGCGGAATTCGTGTGAACCAACCATCGGTGGGGAATTGGATTCGAACCAGGTTCACCTCATTGGAAGGCGAACGCTCGATCCCCTGAGCCACCATGACACTGTTACCTTTGATTGTCGTGGGTGCTGTGCATTTTTAATTTCTTACACTTGGGTAATCAGTCAATAAAGATTGTTATTAGAGAACTTTCTAGCTGTTACGAGATGTAAATTGTCTAAAACTACCTAAAATTCCTTTTCACACTTATAGTTAGTATTCGTCAATTTTTGACAAAAGAATTAACGAACACGCTTCCATAAGCACAGTCTACCTTCAGGATGGGGTTCTTTATTTCTATTTTATTATTTTATTTTCGTATTTTTATATCTATTCCAACGATTGAAATTGACTCTCTCCATGGAAATTTTTTGATTTCATTAATTATTAGATAAAAAAAATAATCGCAACGGCCGAACTTGGAAGAGCATTTCAAAACTTATCTTGAAACATGCCTTTTATGATTGGAAAAAACGTTGGCAAAATTGCAAACACTTAGTTTGATCTTCACGAACGAACCCATATATCTACTTTAAAAAAATATTCTTAAAACAGTTGATATGATATGATTATAGTGTTACAATTTTCCAGTAGAAATTTAAGGAGAATAATCTTTTTAAAGTTTTGGATTTATAAATATTACACATTTTGAACAGGGTGAGCTGTCCAAAATGTGTAATATTTATAAATGTGTAATATTTCAGGGGTCTGTTTAGAAGAAATTTGGGTCCATTAACGGACCCTTCACAAAAGATCTTTTCATAAAAACGGACCCTTCACAAAATATTTTAACTTAAAAACGGACCCTTCACAACATAATTTATCTTTTAATCGGACCCTTCACGAATTTGTTTATTTTCATTATTGTTTTGTTAATCGAATAAACCCTTCCCAAGGGGGTGGGGGGAAAGAAAGACAGATGTAAACGAACTAAGATTTGTCTTCGGCAGACGTTTCTTCCTTTATTCGTCCGAAATGAATATTCTGCTTTCAGTAGTAATAGGCTAAATACCAAAAATTTGTATGTTGCATCTTGCAGTTCATTTTTTAAAATTTAATTTTTTTAAATTATAATTTTACAGTGTTGGGCATAATCTTGTATGTCTTTACAATTTAAAAACTCCTTGAAAAAGTTTTTTGCAATAACCGGACCCTATTTGTACGAATTCATAAACAGACCCCTGACCCTGAACATGTTNAAAGACGGAACAAAAATCGGGGTTGCGTTGATGAAGAGTGTAGTTCTCTTGAGGTGTTTCAATAAACACTCCACTGCATTTCTGTCCATCCATTTTACTGCCATCAGAGTATATTTTGATGTCGTTTGGAGGGATTTTATACATGATTTCCTGGGACAATTATCTGAGGAAGTCAGTCACACAGTCTTTCTTGTCAAGCGTGGTAGGGAGGCTTTCATGGAAACTGATATTGGAAAGATCCAAGCAAGTACTGAGATTGCAATGAAGATAAAGAGGTTCAATATTTTTAGCGATTAACAGTTGCGATTTAACATGACTAAAAGGACTGTTTTTCTTTAGCCTTTGATTGCAGGCCCAATTATTTAGGTAAATAGCAGTTATATTGCCTTGGTCTAAACTGGAAAGTTTATTGAAATATTTCACAGCTTGTCTTCTAAAATGAAGAGGTTGCAGATCTGCTTCGTAAAGGACGATCTCTGAAGGACAGTTACGTTTAAATCCAGTGATGACGCGAGCGGAGCACAGTTGAATCTTTTCAAATTTGTTTGAGTTAGATTGAGAAGCACAGCAGTAGACAGGATAGCCATATTCTAGAATTGGTCTAACAAGAGCCTGATAGGAAGTCCTAAGATTAATGATGTAAGCAGTTCAATCAAGTAAATAACGCTTGGAAAGTACGCAGAACAGAAAAGATCGCTGATATAAATTTAAGTAATGTTGACTGTTACCTTTGATTTAATTTTATTTTATAACCGTTGTCTAACAGCCGACCCAATTTTGGGTTTACGACTACTAATGTTCAACTCCGTAGCCTTGTAATTTTGAACCCAATTTAGAAGACAAGGGATCTTCAGGATCCCTTGGTGATCAGGATTGGGTGAAATTTTGCCCTCATGGAGGACTTTTTGATGGAAGAAATCCGCATTTGTGTTACATGGAGAAGAAAACCCTGGAAACTTCCCACGGTTAGCTTGATAGCAAGGGAACTCTAACCCATGATCCGTCTTCCACTTAGGATATTTTACGTTAGCACCGTGGTCGTTGCAAGCCGGATGCGGAATTCGTGTGAACCAATCATCGGTGGGGAATTGGATTCGAACTCGGTTCACCTCATTGGAAGGCGAACTCTCGATCTCCTGAGCCATCATGGCGCTGTTACCTTTGATTGTCGTGGATGCTGTGCATTTTTAATTTCTTACACTTGGGTAATTAGTCAATAAAGATAGTTATTAGAGAACTTTCTAGCTGTTACGCTATGTAAATTGTCTGAAACTACCTAAAATGCTCCTTTTCACACTTATAGTTTGTATTCGTCATATTTTGACTAAAGAATTAACGAACACGGTTCCATAAGCGCAGTGTGCCTTCAGGATGGGGTTCTTTATTTCTATTTTATTCTTATTTATTTTTCGTATTTTTATATCTATTCCAACGATTGAATTTGACTCTCTTCATGGTCATTTTTTGATTTCATTAATTAGATAAAAAACGATCGCAACGGACGAACTAGGAAGATCATTCAAAAATTATTTTAAAACATGCTTTGATGATTGGAAAGAACGTTGGCAAAATTGCAAACACTTAGTTTGACCTTCCAACAAATTGTTTGCGAACGAACCCATGTATCTACATTAAAAAGATATTGTTAAAACAGTTGGTATGATCTGATTATAGTGTTATAATAATTTTCCTGTAGAAATTTAAAGAGAATAATTTTTTAAAGTTTTGGATTTATAAATATAAAATGTGTTATATTTATAAATGTGTAATATTTCAGGGGTCTGTTTAGAAGAAATTTGGGTCCGTTAACAGACCCTTCACAAAATATCTTTTCATAAAAACGAACCCTTCTCTAAATATTTTAACTTAAAAACGAACCCTTCACAAAATAATTTATCTTTTAATCGGACCCTTCACAAATTTGTTTATCTTCATTATTGTTTTGTTAATCCAATAAACCCTTCCCTGCGGGGTGGGGGGGTGGGAGAGAAAGACAGATGTAAACGAACTAAGATTTGTCTTCTGCAGACGTTTCTTCCTTTATTCGTCCGAAATGAATATTCTGCTTTCAGCAGTAATAGGCTAAATACCAAAAATTTTTATGTTGCATCTCTAATTTAGTAGCAGCAGTTGCAGTTCATTCTTTAAAATTTAATTTTTTTAAATTATAATTTTACAGTGTTGGGCATAATCTTGTATGTCTTTACAATTTAAAAACTCACTGAAAAAGTTTTTTGCAATAACAGGACCCTATTTGCACAAATTCACAAAAGCAGGACCCTGGTTGAAAGAATGTGACTTAACGCTTATTTTATATTCACAAATTACGAGTAATTTTTTCACAATTTTACAAATTCGGACCTTTCACAAACTGTTTGGATAGACCCCTGTATTTATAAAGCAATCATTAGATGAATTCAACCAATTTTACGCGATCCAATTTTGTGATATAACATGTTAAGTATAGGAATTTACAGATTATACCAGAGATCTACAAAATTGTCATTCTAAATAGCGTTGGTCAAAATGAAACAAAGATCTCCCATGATTTAATTTCCTGTAATTCGAGACTTGTGAATTTGACAGTGTCTGAAATACGTAAAGTATTTTACAGCTTTATTGATCTAATTTGTAATCTAATTAATTATTGATCTAATTTGTAACTTTATTGATCTAATAAGATTCTAATTTGTCTTTATTAACAACATTGCTTATATAACTTTAGGGTTGTACCCGAATCACCTCGATGGCTGCTTATTCGGGGCGAAAAGGACATCTTTCGAAAAGTTGTTCAAACAGCGGCGAAAAAAAATGGCGTCCCGTATGAATTTGTTCAATCAGAGACAGAAAAACTGATGTTGAGAAGCGAAGAAATCAGACAGAGTACTGGTAGTACAGCAACAATACTGGATCTCTTCAAAACTCCTAATTTGAGGAAGAGTACGTTGATATTATTTTACAATTGGTAAGTTTATCAAAAGTTACTACATTTCAGTATATCCTTTCTTTATGTCCAACGGGAATTAGGGAACATATGTGCTTTAAATAAAGTTAAAACACCGTAGAAATAGGACATAGGTCACATAAATATGTAAACATCGTTTCGGTACTATAAAGCACATCCTTTAGAGTCAAGAATGTGTGATTTGAAAAGTGATGTTAGAAAAACTGATATAATTCTGTGCTTCGATACTGAAAAAAAGTACTTAATCATGGTACCAAAACGATTGGATGTATGTTTATGGGACACCACTAGTGCTTTTTTGCACATTGTTTTATTTATTAACAACTATGTTAGCATTGTTTTTTTGAATTAAGCTTTAAGTTTGAAACAAAGATTGCAGTATTTTTTTGCAATTCCGAGGTTTTTTTTTCTTGTATAATTTTTTGCTTTAGTATTTTAAAATATACGATTTTCAAAATGTTAAAGACGTTATACATTCTTATTAAATAAATTTGAAACAAGTTCGAAAGAATAATAAAAATTTTCAAAAATCAAATTTTCTTATAACGCTGGAGTACTTTTGTTGCTCTTTTTGCTTTAAAAGTTTTTTATACATTATTAATAGCATGATTATCTATACTTATTTATCTAAAAAGTAAAATCTTGTAATGAAAAAATTCTAGTGCATTATATCCACAAAGTAAGGTTCCAAATATTATTTAATTTGTCCTGATTTTTTTTTTTAGTTTGTAACCAAAATATTCACACCAACATGTGGGTAATTCCACCATTGATGAAAATCATATCTTGACACTTTAAATGCATAATTATTTTTATTGACTTTTAGAAAATTAAAATGTTTTTGAAAATTAAGGACTAGATGATACGGACGTAATGTATTAATTGTGTTACGTTCTTAATACTCAGTTTTCAATTTTTGATTTTTTTAAATAAATAAATGTAGTAAAAATTATATTAAGTGTAAATGGCACCTAGAGTTATTTAACTAAAAATGGTAGAACTGCATGATTATTTTTCGCCTTAAGCTGAGTTTTGTGCTTTAAAGTCTTCAAATAAGGCATTCGTAAATGTTGCAACTAAACTTCATACATTTGTCTATAAAGTTTGAACTAATGTAATTTTGTTTTCTAAAGTTGTGGTTTTAAATGTCATTTTAACCATATTTATAGGCTGGTAAATTCATTCATCTACTTTGGGCTGTCTTACAACACTGAAGAATTATCTCTGAATCCATACCTTAGTTTCTTTCTGTCAGGAGCCGTCGAATTTCCAGCATACTTGGTCACCATTAAAGTTATTTCTAGCGCTGGTCGTAGACGTCCATTAGCGATCGCAATGATTATAGCTGGCTTAGCTTGTGCTCTTACAATACCTATACCATCTGGTAAGAATTTCTTTTAATAGACGATGATTTCTAAAGTTATAAAGTTTAGGAAAATTTAGAAAATATGCCATTATGCCCATTTTAAAACAACGGTGTGTTTGCCTGATTAACCTAAAAGAATTTTTCTTTTCCAACACTAGCACTATAGTGAGAAATATTGTTAATAATTAGAACGGTAAAATAGTACCATTTTTTTAAAATTTAAATTATTTGCTGCGTTTGTGCATTGCCTTGAATGTACGTCACATTGTAAGTCCGAAATTGGTGATAGTCGACATTCACCGGTGAATGTCAACAATCACGTGTTCGCTTTAGAAAATGACCAAAATTTTGTCAGAGGGCTTCATATACGTGTTTGATATTAAAAAATATTTGATATTTAATTTATTTATCGATACTTTAATATTACTTCGATGGTTCAATATCTGATTCTTACAGATTTCGGGAATACTGGGAAAGTTAGGGGGCTGTTGCCCGGTATTCCTTGCACTGATGCTTTTTTTAAAATTTAATGCCACTGCCTGTTTACATTTGTCAACATTCCCAACAGTGTTGTTTCTTAAGGTAAAGGGTCGGGTCGTTCCCGGTATACACTTTTTTAGTGCTTTCCAGTATTTACAACACTGTTGATTTTTTCCAATTTATTATAATCGTATAATAAAATATTGAGTAAATATTAAAATATCGATGAAAAAATTAATATTAAATCAGATCTAGCAAATACTTCGGACATTCACTCAAGTGGCTATGTATTTGTTGACATTAACCAGTGTAAGTTGACAATCACTAGATATTTAATATTGTTAACATACAAGGATTCGTACGCACCTAGGAACAATTAATAAGTGGTATCAATTTTGCTATAAAGAGGCTGAAAATTTCTTAATATTAGCTTCCACTATTAAAATAAAATTTAATATACGCCACCTTGGGATCAATATATATTTACTTGGAGATAAAATATTCTCTCAGCTACAAACATAATAGGATAAAAAAAATTATATTAATATTACTGCCACTTTTAAATTTTTTCCAGGTTCGTATGATACTTGTAAAACATACTTTTTTTGTCAGAAGTAACTTGTTTTTTTCCTACTATAATTTTCCAACTATTTCGTCAAATGGGCTTAATTTGTGCAGAATTCAGACTTTTAGGATTTGCCTTAAAAAAAGAGAGACAATAATGTAGAATAAAGATATTTTTATTATTAAAATAATTTATGATATTGTATCGAATCGAGTAAATAGAGTTGATGTGAAATTCATACATAAAGTAACGGAAATTCTATGTAAAGAAATTTAAAACAAGTCTAACATGATGAAGAACAAAAAAAGTGTTTCCTCCTTAATTCACAGATGAAAATTTTTCATGTAACAGAAGTTTTGTTGTGATATTATTATTAAATTTTAATATTGTTTATCTCTTTCATTTTCTTTTTATTGCTTGAATTAATTTAAAAAAAAGAAGTTAAATACTTTTTGCATAAATAGTAGATTGATCATAATAGTACAGGGTGCATAGTGTTTTTAAAAAGTGCTTAAAGGTGCTTATTTTTGATTTATGTTTTTTAAAAGCCCTTAAAGGTGCTTTTTGCTATTCGGAGTTTGTAAGAAAAGCTTAATTTTCTATCGCATAAAAAGAGATTCTTTTGCAGTGTTGATTGTCGTTCTAAATTACAAAAAATGTATGATTTTCACTATTCTCACTGCAACAATTATCAGAAAGGTAATTATTTTATCAGAATTATTTAAAGTTTTTGAAAATGATTTTGAATTTTATTAATTTTATGTTTGTAAAATAAGAACTTTAAACGATAGAAAGAAATTATTTTTATCACCGCATAGATCGTAATTATGATTTTTTTCCAAAAGTGATTAAAAATATTTTTTAAGTGCTTGAAAAGTACTTAAAAAGTTCATTTATTGTTCAAAAACCTGGCTACGCACCCTGTAGTAGATTTTAATCGTAATCAAGGACAGATCTAATACCAGATAAATCATAATACTAATGATTGGTCATAATAATAGATTTATTTCAGCTAAATATGGTTGTTTTGTTCATGGAATGTTTACTGCAATATTATGGCATGCCACTAATTTTGTTTATTATAAGACTCTTTCAAAAAATAAAGATGAAGGCAGAGAATTATTGGGTATTTAAAAGTATTGAAATTCGTTAATAGAATATACTAATTATGTATTTTGTTTTGCAAAGTAATGTTTTTGATGAATTTCCGAAGCTTTCTAAAAGCTTTTCTAATATATTTTCGTTCAAAAGTTGTTTTTGAGAATAGATGTTAATTTTCAGTTATTGTGAACATGTGTAACGAAAATTTGTTACTCCCTTCTTTTCAGATGTGGTAGCATTGAAAGTCTTGTTTCCCCTTGTGGGTAAATTTTGTATAACAGCGACATTTGCTACTGCTTACGTCTACTCGGCTGAAATTTTCCCTACAGTCGTGAGAAACGTTGGACTCGGAACAGGATCTACAGTAGCTCGAATTGGTTCAACAGTAGCACCTTTTACAAGAGAATTGGTAAATTTGAATTTCTTTACTTTTTTATCAACAATATTTTTAGCAATATTATGCAAGATTTTATCGCTTATTTTATTACCGGCATGGAAACAGTCGACCTATTTTTGGGTTTACGACTATTAATGTTCAGCTCCGTAGCTAGTAATTTTGAACCCAACTTAGAAGACAAGGGAATTCTTGAATAAAGTATTGGAACAAACTAGCTAGCCTTCAGAGAGGAGGACTATTTGTTGGAACTAGCCCGCCTACCTCCGATAGAAAAACTACGAAAACTTCCCATGGTTAGCCTGATAGCAAGGGTAATATAATAATGATCTTCCTTCCACTGGGGATATTTTGTGCTGTTATCGATGTGAGCTAGGAGCTGAATTCGTATCGACCAGCCATCACTGGGATTCAAGCCTGAGTCACCTTATAGAGTGGCGAATGCTCTATCCAGTGAAACACCGCGGCTTACGTTTGCAAGACTTTTAAAGTTAAATTCATGGTACACAGAGGCTTCTAGCTCTGGATCTGCTGATCAATACAAATGAAATTTTAAATACCGAGTCGATCATGGGGCTGAGGTTACGATCAAAAACTATTTGTTTGAAATTTTGGCGAAATACTGGGTACTGTACTACTATAACAATTGAAAAATGATGTATGCATGGAACTAAATGTATATTGTTGTTCCACAAGGTTAGCTCATAGGAAGCAAAGGTGTGTAAATAATTGAAATATTTTATTATTGTTTGATTCTAGCGTTGAACCTTTCAAATTTATACATTTTAACGTAAGCTGCGAAATTTCGAACAATAACACTCTTCCAAAATGGGAATATCATTCGGATCCGTTATGTAGTGCCGGATCTAGAGTTCTTTGAGTACAGTCAGTTTGACCAACTAATTAATAGTTTTAATTTAAACAACCTGTACATCTTTTTTTTCTTCAAAAAAAGTTAAAAAGGAGGCATTTTTCAACTAATTTTTCAGAGCATACTGTAAAAATTGAGACCCACCATTGTTTCACTGTATGCAAACCAAATGAAGACATTATGCGTTAGAATGTGTTAAAAAAGATCGTGAAAGTTTTTAATTATTTCTGATGCAAAACAATAAATAAATACCTTAAATGCATAAAAAAATATTCTTAAACATAAGAACAAATTTAATATATTTTTCCGTGTATCTCTTATTTTGTTTTGTTAAAAAATAAATAATGTAGGTAACACAATGTAAAGTTTATTGTCTAACTTAATAAACTGTTTTTGTAAAATCAAAACTTTGTGCCCCAATCTCTTCTCTTTTTAAAAGTTCTTTACCACAATAATTATAATTTGCATCGTATATTTTAAGTTTACTTCTTCATAATGTATTTATGTTTCAGGGTGCTGGTACATTTTCAAGTCTTCCAGATCTTTTATATTCACTTTTATCAGTCACTAGTGGTTGCCTTATATTTTTATTACCTGAAACTAACAATGAACCTTTTGCTGACACGTTAAAACAAGCAGAAAAAATTGGACAGTAAGTATAATTTGTTTTATTAGCTGAGATGTCAGCAGTTATAGATTTATTATTAGGACATTCCAACGAAAAACTGGCAACAGATTCATTATCCCTAACATCTCATTTCTGTAGGGCGATTCTGCTATCATGGGGCACACTTAAGAGAGGTAAAGGTCCTGATTGGGCGTGATGAACCAATTCGATGGCCATCCCGTTCACCAGGTTTAAGCCAACATTCTTTTCATGTGGGCATCATTTACGAGACTTCCGTTGATCAATGGTCCTTACAGGCAGAATTTATAGCCAAAAAATTAATAGTCAAACGAAATTTCGACCGCTTTCTTGTAAATTGAAATGCTGAAATTTCAATTGGAGTTCTGTGCTTTATACCAATTAATTGCAATTGGATACCTGTAAGTGCAATAATCATAGGTATTTCTGGCATTTGTTGATTCAGAAGCCAATCAGGTTCGACAGAAATGCTTGACGTCGCTTCCAGGGATCCATTTAAATCACATTATAAAGCTTAATTACTTTGCTTCTTTTTGATTTGCTAAGTTAAAGTTTGCTAAGTAAAAAAAGTTAAAGTGTATCACTTTGGTAATAAACTTTTATGACCACAGATAATTCCACACGTCTTTCAAAAATGCAATTACATAAATTTTTATTTTAGTATATCGTATTAGTAAATATGTATGTCAGACTTAATTTTCAACATTTTATCACGAGCATTGTTATGAGGCTATAAAGTTAACTCAGCATTAAATTATACTTTCAGCATAAATACAAACAAATTGATATGAAAAAGTAACTTAAAAACACTTTTTTTTCAGGAAACCAAAAGAAGAAAGTGCTGAGATTCCAAAAAATGATGTTTAAAGAAGATGACTTAAGACTACTCAAGGGCATTTCACTTCATATAAAACTTCATTGTGTATTTTTCTGAAGGAAAAAGTCTTTTTTTCTTATCATTACATCTGCAATTTATGGTGGAATTCAATAAATAACGCGAACTGTCATTACGAGGTTGCATGCATCTGCGCTGTTTTACGCCTTATTTAAAGTCATGTTATACTTGTTTAATAAAGCTTTTAAATGTTTATGTATTATATGTATTGTCTTAATATATTTACAGTTTAAACTGTTTATTTTCATTAACCAAAATGTTAGGATTTAAAACTAGTTTGTCCTAGCCAGGGGTCTGTTTAGAGGAAATTTGGGTCCATTAACAGACCCTTCACAAAATATCTTTTCATAAAAGCGGACCCTTCACAAAACATCTTTTCATAAAACGGACCCTTCACAAAATAATTTATCTTTTAATCGGACCCTTCACAAATTTATTTATCTTCATTATTGTTTTGTTAATCGATTAAACCCTTCCCAGGAAGGGGGGGGGAGAAAGACATATGTAAACAAACTGAATTTTGTCTTCGGCAGACGCTTCTTCCTTTTTTCGTCCGAAATGAATATTTTGCGTTCAGCAGTACTGCGTTCAGCCAAATACCAAATATTTATATGTTGCATCGCTAATTTAGTAGCTGCAATTCTTGTTTATTTTTTAAAATTTAATTTTTTTAATTATAATTTTACAGTGTTGAGCATAATCTTGTATGTCTTTACAATTTAAAAACTCCTTGAAAAAGTTTTTTTGCAATAACGGACCCCTATTTGCACAAATTCACAAAAGCGGAAACTGGTTAAAAGAATGTGACTTAACATTTGTTTTATATTCTCAAATTACGAGTAATTTTTTCACAATTTTACAAAAATTGACCCTTCACAAAATGTCTAGACAGACCCCTGCTAGTTTAAAAAAATTAACTCGGAAGACGAAAATTTTTAGAACACTAAGCAAAAAAAAATAATCTGTCCTAGAAAAATCAATGTATTATTGAATACAGAGTAACTCTTCCTTTGGATTTTAAAACCGTTTGGATTTAGTTAAAATACGAGTCCACAAAATTTTGTCGATTTCAGCCATTCGCTGAAGTCTTGATCATGCAAATCACTAATTCGCGGGGATGTTCAATTTGACTGTCATAGTAAGACTCGCAAACATTCTATAGGGCTCAAATCAGGTGATTTCATCAGGCCATTCGAGATGTAATTGGATGTGTGAGTGTTTATGGAACTATAACCTTCCAGTCCGATAAACTTTTCTGTCGTCATTTTGAAAATTAAAGTTATTTAATTATGAGATAATGATTAAAAGGCAACACCCAATTATCCAGAATTCTTAAATAAAAAAAAATTACTTCATGTTTGCTGTTACACGAGTGAGCAGGCATTATTAATATTATGTAAAACATCACAATTCGCCTTTTTCTCCGTCACCTTTGGAAGCTTTTCACGATAACTCTAGGGCTAGCAAATATTTTGTCTGGTGAACTTAGCAACCCCCTGCTACTGAACCCAAAATATTAGCATCACCCACAGGTGGTTCAATTAATATCTACTTAAAAAAAATAGCTGGTTTACTGCCTGTCTTATACCGTTTCTCGGCTGCCATTTTGGATTTGTTGTAAAAAAAAGGTCTAGATAGAGCTCAAGCTATTGGCTATATTGTGTGCACTATAGGTAGATGGTGCACGCAAATTTTGATCAACTGGAACAAATCTTGACAAAAGAGAAATTAAAAAAATAAATTTTTGAATTTTACTTAAAATTGATTCTTTACGCTGTTCACTCTGATAAGGTAGAGGAGAAAATGTCAACTTCTGTCCAAATGACAACAAGAAGAAAAATGGACCAAGAACCAGATATTTAATACTTATTGATTGTTTAAATTGTGCGCTAGCACCAAGTTCGTAACTACTTAAGTTATCTATGTGAGAGTTAAAAGTGATTGCTCATCTACCATATATCCAGTGTAGTGAAAAATATAAAATACTATATAAAAGTGCGTAAGTAAGGTCAGGCGTATTAAATACAAGTAATTTTAAACCTCTTTACATTTTGCTCAAAAGTTAAATTTCTTTAAAATATACGCAGATTAATTATTTAGGAAGACCAACTGGTTTATATTATGTATCAATTTTAATAATATTACTAACTAAGCCCATTCTACCATTTCCAATCACTTTATGCTCTGGTTTTCATAAATGAAGGAAAAATTCTAAAAATAATGATAACTCTCCCAAAAATAAGCCACTCCCATTGAAATTTGACTAAGTTGTCAAATAAGAGTTGCTAAGTAAAATTGCAATACATAAGTTAGCGGTGCTGCAATGGAATTACGTCATCTGCAATAAGTATATAATTGTATGTTTGATCGTAAGCCTGAACATTTCGCTGTGTTTCTGAAATTGGAAATTTGAGGTAACCAATTTGTAACAATGACCTCCAGGCATCATTTGTCCGAAGAACTGCCATTGGAAGACTAGAGGAAAGGCAGATAGAAGTGGTCACGTGGCTGGCTAAATATGAGTTCTTCTGTGGCTCATAGACTTTTGGCAACAATTTCTAAGCACAGAACGTTCAATCAAGGACGGCCAAATACTACGACGAGCACCGGCGACTGATATTTATCGTTATGTGCACAAAGGAATAGAACAGCAACTCCGAGTTAGCTTAGATCCTCTTCTAATGTAGCCACCAGAAAACTGGTGTCGGCATATACTGTTTGTAGATAGTTTCACGAACGTTGTTTGTTCGCTAGGTGCCCAGCCATATGCGTAAGCCATATTTAAGTTGAGAGCAGCAGCATGTCCACTGGAGGGCTGTTCTCGTCACAGGTGAGTCCAGGTTAAGCCTACAACCCGATAGTAGGCGTATCTTTAATTTGGATTCCGATATCATCCATCAAACACACGTGAATGAGATGCATACCAAGTGGGCAGTGTGTGTATGTGGGGTGGTATCACTTTGGGAGGACGCACAAATCTGCATGTCCTTCCACTTGGAGCCGTGAATGCACATGTGTATAGAGATGACATCCCGTTTATGTAAGCCCTTATGCTGATGCAGTAGGTGATGATTTCGTGCTACAGACCGATAACGCAATGCTGGACAGGGTTCGCATCGTGGATTATATTCAGCAGCATACAGCTAGATCAATGGACTTGAATTTTGTCGAACATGTTTGGGTATGCTATTTGCACTCAGACTCAGACCCTTGAAACGTTTACAACTGCTTTGCAAGAGCAATGGCTTGCACTTCCAATGGAACTACTTGTTATTGTTGTTCTATGCCATTAAGGAAAAGGGGATGATGCGCTTCTTCTTGTTTTCCAATAACAACATTTATCGCCAATATTACAAGTTCTGTCATATACATACGTCACAGATCGTTTATAGGGCGGACCTATTCATTTATCCATAGATCTTAATTTCTGACCTAAACCAGAGAACGATCTATCTCCAATTCAGAACATGGAGGACTTTGTCATCCGACAGATTTAACATGCACTAGTCACCATTTCCTACACGGGGAATCGTCGGCCGATGGGAATCGAACTCACGACCTCTTGGACATGGGCCCAACATCCTACCAACCAGGATATCCCGGTCCCAACGGTACTGGTAGACCACATAATTGAAAGTATCGCACATATGTGATGCTTTCGGACATAATATGAAAATCTATGTGCTATTTCACAGCTAAAATTGATCATACTCCATACTGAAGGTACTTCAACTATTCCAAACTGACACAGATTTATTCATTTCACACATATGCTGTATTCTTTAACACCATAATTGTCTGGTTAACGCTTTTTGTGTTATTTTATACATTATTATGTGCACTGTAATGTGTACCAGTTTTCTTAAATTCTATGCGTAATTTTTTAATTATGGGCAATTTTGTGATTTTTCTTTAATTTATGATAACTAGTGTCTAAGTTTGTTATATTGTTCAAAAATAATGCAGGGATTTTGTTAGAGTTTCATTAAGAATATTGTTAGATTGATCGAATTAAGTTAAATCAAAGATACTGCTGTACGTCACGTGATCGAATTTTCCATTTTAATGTTAACTCTGGTGAGAGTAAAGTAAATTTCTGGCAAAAATATGCATCAGAAATTTGTGATCTGACTTAGGCTGTATTTCTTTTAATTTATGAGGAAATTCATACAATATATGGTTTAATTATTTAAATAATACACTTTGAGGATTTTTTAAAATTTTGCTTTTATATAAATAAATACATTCTTTTGACAAAAACCAAAACATAATCATATCTTTCAGTCAGCATTATAAAATATAACAAATATCTAGTACACCAAAATTGATTCAGAATTTTTTGAGCTATTTTTACCCAAAATTTATCTTTTAATGATTGCTGCTAGTAACAGACTAGAAGTGTTGCTGCAATCAAACTGAGAAACTGTTGCAACATTTTTAGTGTGTGTCCAAATATTGAAATACTTCCAAGACGTGTGAGAGCTGAACCCAAAAGTATCTTTCAGAAATATTTGTTTATTCAGCAAAAGACAATTATGACGTGTTTAAAATCTGGTGGGTAATTAGCATTCTTTATAATGCATAATAAAGAGTGCATTTTTTAAAATAGAAAATTTTATTACATGGAGTATATCGTTCATTAATAAGATTAAAATATTGTTGTTAAAAAAGATGGTAATTAACAACATTTATTAGTTTCTTTTATGTAGAATGCATTTCAAAAATAGTACCCGTTTATTATTAATGAGAATAAAAAAAGCTCTTAATAAACATCTTTTATAAAGCTTCGCCTTTCCAGCCGATTACGTGTATTTTAATGATATTTACAATGATTCGTATTTTTCCGCATGATTGCCAGCAGTGCTAATCTATAAATTATGAATTTTCACGTCTTGAGAATCAAGTCTATCATACCATTCAGCAATTTCTAACAATTTGATTTTATGTTTTGTTTTCATTACTACTACTTCAAGCTTTAATGTTTACGAATTGGTAAGTTTTCTTAAAACACTCTTACATTAAAGGAATACACTTTAAAATGTATTCAAAAACTGATTTTTATTTTAAATTTTTAAATAAAGTGAATATTTTTCAAAAGTTTTAAATCAATCTGAGAATCAAATGCCTTTAGAAAATTCCCGTATTATCGGTTAAAAGTAATGTAGAAAGATAAAGTTCAAACAAAACTTTATTTTTGAAAACGTTGAACCAGGATTTTTTAAATTTAATACACTTATGTTGAAATTTTGTACACTTCTACTAGAATTGATTATTGACTAAGCAAAGGATTTTTTGTATGAGTAAAACTAATTTTGTAAATCAATATGCTGATATAAATTTTATATTGGGATTTACTTTTTTAATTTTAATTCATATTAACTTTGGACGAAAGTCATATTTTTGTGCAAACACACAGTAGAAATTTTTTTAAAACCTAATGACTTTTTCATCATATTATTTGAATAAGTTTAATGAAAATATTTTTAATAAAGATTTCGAGTATTTGTCGCATGCGTTAGAAATCTCCCTAATTTAGTCAATAATAATTCCGAATATTTTTAATAGTTTCTAATGGCATGAGATTTTTCAACTTATAAATTTGTCAGACAATATTCTAGATAAATTTTTCACATGCGAGTGTTATTCTGGATTGATTTGCCACGTATTATTTTAGATAAATTTTTTAAACATATTTCTTGAATGAATTTAATAAAATATTTTTGTATTAGCAAAAAGTAATACTGTACGTACCAATTAAGTTATTGAGACTTAATATTTAGTTTATAGAATTATAACATCTTATTTTCGAATAAGATCAGGAATCGAACCAGGGATCTCTGGATCCATAGTTAGACGTTTTTAAACTTTTAACATAGTTAGTTAAAAGTTTTAACATAGTTAGACGAATAAAACTTTTATTAAATTCTACTTAATAATTGAACAAAATTAGAAATTAAGCACCCCTATCGATAGAATTGACTATTGATTGAATAGATTATTATTCGTTGAGTAGAGCTTATTTTACAAGGCATGTAAAATTTACCAAAAAATCATATTTTTTGTATACAATTCTAAAAAAATTCAAAATTTAATTTTTTAGGAACTTCTTTGTTTTTTTATAATCAATTGTTTCTTGTAATTTGAAAAATTTTTGATAGAATAGAATTGTTGATGGAATTGTCTGTGCATTAAACAAAAATTCTTTCATAGACTATAATATATAATGTCATAAATGTTAACGGAAATTGTATTTTTCACATACACCTCTACAAAAATTCAATTTTCAATTCTCGTTCAAATCCAACCAGACTTAGAAGTGTGCAAAATGTCAAAAGAAAAATGGGCATACATTGGATTCTGATAACTCTTTTCCAACATGGGTATGCTTTTTTTCCAAAAGGTCTCCAAAAATAAGTTCACATTCTCCAAATTTTTCAGAAGAAAAATATTGTCCAGATGGTGCTTGTTTACATGCTTAAGGCTGGAATAAAATAATAATTTACTGTTATGAAAAATTTAGAAGAAATAAGATAAAATGTAAATTTTGAAAAGAAAAAATGGTGGTTAATTATTTTATCAGTTTTATTTAATCTAAGTCAAATTTTTTTCTTCTGTTCATTGCGATGTTAATATTTTTTTTCTAAAAAAAGAAAATACAAATGAGGGATTTGAGTTTTAAATACTTATTTTTCAAATAGTAAATGAAATATTTCAGATATCGATGAATTTCATCGTGTAGTCTAGATAATAATAATATAAAAATTGCTACTACTACTTTTTACTTCAAGTAAATTCAGTCATGAAAACATTAACCTTCAGATTTCTTTAAAACTGCCGTTTAGCAGCCTTTTCCAACTCCATAACCTTGTAATTTTAAACATTACTCAGAAGACAAGAAAACTTCTGGATCGAGTATCATGACAAGCTTCACTGAAAAGCTTTTTTACCCCTTTGACGGTAAGCTGCTGCAAGTTAAAGGGAAACAACACAGTAACATTTTCATAAAAATGAAAAAAAAATTATTGTAGTTTTCGATAATTTATTCTTTTGAGAATATTATTATAGCAAAACATTGAATAGATTATCCAGAAAATTTAAAAATTGCACCATAATATGACGAGGGTTGCGTGTGACGCTCTGTGACATATATTAGGGATGGGCTAACTTTTTTGGTCGAGGGCCAAAAATCAAGAAAAAAAAATTTGGGTGGGCCAAGTAAAAACTTCAAAATTTAAAAAAAAAATCGATATATAAGTTTTAATTTAAATATTTAGTGAGATGAAGGAAATTTCGATTTCATTTTTAAAAGTTCCTTACATTAAGGTTCGAAGTGAGATGTGCCTATTTCAAGGAACAAGGCTAAATGCTTTTCTGTTAGTCTACTTCTGAAATGATTTTTTTCTAAGGTTCACAGTTGAAAACTCTTGTTTACATATAAAGATTAAGCAAACATAGCACTGATTTTCTGGGCATGAAATATTAAATTTTGGAAACTAGCTTTTGGTAATGATTTGTAAAACTTTGCTATATTTAGAAACAACTGCTTCAGATGATTGTTAAATGGTCCGCTCTTTGGAGCGTAAAATGCGCAGTCTGCCAAATGTGAAGTACAAGGGCTTCTNATGCGTAGTCTGCCAAATGTGAAGTACAATTTACCTATATTAGATTCCTCGAGAAAGACAAACGCTAGTTAGAGCCAATCTAAGACTATTCTATGAAGAACTTCTGCTTTCAACATTTTACCAATTGAAGCTGTCTGTGCTAACTATTTCCATCAATTTATGTTTTGTAGAACAAAAATAGAGAAAGTAAAAATGTCATCAGTACTTTGTTAAAAAAGGAAAAACGGAAATAATTTTAAACATAGTCGACAAGAAAATGGTTATTGTTTATTATTTGCCACGGATCGGCAAATAAAAATTCTATCCGCGGGCCGGATTAAATCTTCCGGCGGGCCACAGTTGGCCCGCGGGCAGTAGTTTCCCCATCCCTGACATATATGGACAAGTAAACGTTAGCTCTCAGTTGATTTATGTATTTACTCACTTCAATCGAAAAATTTTGAAAAATACTAGCATTTTAAGTATTTTATTTAAATAAATTGTTAATAAGTATAAGAAAATGAATTAATTCTACTTTCAGTATAAATAGTTGAAGTTGCAACCTATTTAGCTGTAATTATTTATAGTGAATTTGGAAAAAGGTTATTGACAATTAGAAATAAATGTAAGCCCATCAGCTAAAGAATATGTTCAAGTTTAAGATGATCGCAGAAATTCGAATGTTGCTCTAAACACATATGATGAACACATGAGGATAGATCCATAAGAAAAAGGGGACTTGAAACTGCTGCAAATGAGGCAGCAGAAGCACTTTATGAACTTGGTATTAACGGATTATAGTTCATTTACATTTTTTCTATATTTATACGGACTAACTATGCACAATTTTAAACCGATTTACTTCAAATTTTGACTATCAAACATAATTCACAATTAATATAGCTTTCGCTGCACGTAGGAATTGTTTTTAATGGAATCAATTAATTTTGAGTAATCCACAAAAATAGAATTTTCTTCATGTCATTTTTTGATATTTTTGTCGAAACATCGCCATTTTCTGAAAAACATTTTTAAAAATTCCTATCTTCAATTAAAACTACATTCCTGTTGCATAAAAAAATAAATCAGAATCCAATTTGAATGATTTTTTCTTCAACTTATGAGTACAGCCAGTTATGGATAATTTAAAAAATAAGTTGTGAACACAGCATTATGGAAACACTAATTTTTTAATTTTCTATCTTTGTAATATGATAAAATGAAGACTAAAATATGTACAATTCGATAAAAAATAAATTTAGTTAAGTCTGTCACAACTGGGTACTTGCACTTCAAAAAGAAGAAGAAGCTCACGAATACTGGCACATATGCCTATGACGTCAGCTCCAGCTGATCGTTTATAAGCCAAATGGAGAGTTAAAGTTGCGTTTCTCCACATAAGTTAAAATGTTAATTAACGTGAAGTTAATTAAATATAGCGCCGCCTCACACTTCAAATTTATTAAAATGTAATTCTTTTTAGTCCACGTCTTTTACTTAACTTAGATTTATTATTTATTTAGATTTATTAAGCATTTTATTGTACCATGACACGTTTTTATTTCAGATACATAGCAACATTTATGCATAATATGTTCCACATAATATGTTCTACATTATATGTTCCATATAATATATGGTGAAAGAATTGAAATCTATGTGAAAGAATATAGAATGTGTCACTTAAGAGAATTGATACTTGACGGGCTTGGCTTAACAGTTAATAACGTAAATGAATTTTACGGTTTAACGACTTATCACGATCGAGATACCTACTCTACGTCACGTGCAGGTATCCCATTGTTAAAAAATTCTTTTAAAAAAATCCTTCTTTTTTTACATAGTTCTACAGTATTGTTCCGTCTTACAGCACTTCACGTAACCAGCATGTTGTGAACAGTAGTGATCACTGGGAACTCAATACTCTTTTTATGTAATATTTATCTTTACGGCATATTAACACTTTTTAATATAGTATGTAATCCAATTGCTATTAGTTGGTCCATTTCAAAACGGATTCAAGCATTTTTTAATTTATTTTCAATATATATTGTTGATTCAACGACGAATTATTTCTAAAACGCCTTGATTTGATAGTCATAATGTATGTATATGGATATTGAAAATTGAACGAATGACAAGAAAGTAACGTTAATATTCTATATTTAATCAAAAACTTCTTTTTGTCAAATAAGAATGATTAGAAAATTAATAGTTCAGTTGTGTATGATAAATCTAATCTCAAAACAAGTAACAACGCATAATCCGACGTCGCATTTTGTACATTCGCATGGAGTACCACTGCTTCTTTTATGTAACCTGCTGACAACACATTTCCTTCATCTCAAATTGCCAGATACATTTAAAGTCTATATCATTCGAATCAGAAAT